CATTTTGTCTAAATCCCTGCTTTACAGATGAGGAAACTGAGACCCAGAGAGGTGAAGGGACTTCACATTAGAATGGAAAAGAGCACACACTAACCTTAGAGTAACAAGGCCTCATTCCACTTCTTCTACTCATTTTTAGTCTTTACCTCTGTAGCATTGTGATGGCAACACCTACAGTACCCACTTCAAATAAGGCATTGTAGATGAAAGCATTTTCAAAGTGGAATGCACAAGATATTAGTGGTGTTAACTTATGAGTAGTAATTTTACAACCCGCTTAGAGATGTCATTACTCTCATCCTCTCCTTGAGCACTTCAGCAACATCATCAGGATTAAGTCGTGCTTAATTGCACACAAGGCTGTGGTAGACTTTTGTTCCTAAGAGAATTGTATTTTGTTTCTTCAGGAGCTTTTAATTTTAACCAAAAACACATGGGTGGGGTATAAATAGCCAAATATTAATAGATATTGGCCCGTTTGTTCGTGTAACAGACTTATATCAATGCACGCAGGCATAGCAGGCATAGATTCTGCTACGTTCTGGTATTGTGCAAGCATCCAGTCATGAGGAGGGCAGGATCCTTGCCCTTGTGGAATTTATAGTCTAGTTGGGGTAGGGAAGGGGAAAGAGGTTTAAAAGGAGCAATTATACAATAACTATATACTTAAAATTTAATAAGAAGAAAGTCCAAGTTGCTTTGAAAGCATGGAACAGGCAGATCTAACCTGCTCTGGGCCATCAGAGGAGATGTCATTTAAGGTGAGAATAAAGGCTGAAGGGAAATTAAGCTTGGAAGTATGCAAAGGTCTTGCTTAAGGTGTGGTCCATTTGAGTAACTCCATGGCAGGCTGGCTGTGGTGTCATGAGCCAAAAGGGTGAAGCAGTGGTGGGTGAAGATGAGGCTAAAGAGCTGGAAAGACAGCACAGGCCACCAGAAGGAGTTTGTACTTTATCTGAAGTGCCAGGGTAAGTCCTTGAAGGATTTCAAGCAAGCATGAGCAATAAAATCGCTATTTCATGTTTAAAAAAATCACTCTGTATAAAGAGTAGACCAACAAACTGAAGTATTCACCAATGGAATGGTTGCTGGGATTTCTTTCCAAATAATCCAGGAGTTGGGGGAGGGAACAAATGAAACAAGACTGGGCATGTGTCAGTAACTGTCAGGGCTGAGTGCTGGGTACATAGGGTCCATTTAACTATCCTCTCTAAAATTTCCACAGTAAAAAAATTTTACAAGCCAACATGTGAATGGGTATCTTACACAAGCTCAGCATGTGTGTAGGAAGAAACAGTTCTAGCCTATGTAGAAAAAGTGAACTCCACTTTCATGAACGAAGGGAAATGGTTTACAATACAAATGTACGGAAGGAGCAAATGATGTGATCCACATACAAGCTTCTCTGTGGGTCCCAGCTACTTCCTGTGAGTCCAAGTAAGAGTCTCCCATTCCTGGCCTGGCCATCTACATCACTCTGATCATTTTCATGATACAGACAAAATTAACCAGTAGTTTTTAACACACTAATTTCTTCAGCATCCCTGAAGAGTTTCTATGCCTCCTCAAGAAATGTCCCTCAACCCCCAAGTCAGTAGCTAAGAGTACCCCAAAGAAGCAGTTTTAACAAAAGAGACCAGAGAAGAACAGAGTCCTCACTGGTGGACACTGCCGCAGGCTGCTGCCTTGGGACCCTGTGGGGTCCTTTTCTGGCGGGCTGGGTCTTCCCTTTCCACCAGAGAGGCAGAAAGAGCCAGGATCTCCAGGCCAGCGCTTCCCACCCCTCTCGCCACCCTCTCGGTGTGGCGGGCCATCTTTGCATGGCTTCCGGAGATTTCCCAGTGATCTTTCTTGTTTTAATATATGCTCAGAACTGTTGCTCAAATTAGTGTCTACTGGGTATTTTAGTTGCCTTCTTTTTTCTCTCAAAAGAAAAAGCTTTTTGAATTCCCTCTTTTAAAATGGAAGGTATTATGGTCTATATCTGTGGAAACTGTCTAGACACGCATTTATATAACGTGTGCCGTGGAGGTATAGATGTAAGAGACCTCAGGGCTTCATCTGGTGTGATGGTGTCACTGAGCCCCTGAAGTAGGGGTGGGGGTGGGGGCGTGTCCTTGACCAGCATTTCTCTGAGACTGTGGTTGGCTGGGTAGGCTCCAAGATCCCCTGACCTCTGACTGTCCTGCACTGGCCCTTCCCATTGTCACCTTTGCCACTCCCCGCTCCACCCCTGCCACCGCCATGATTATGGACTTTTGAGTTGTGTGTGGCTGTCTAAAAATCTCATACAGACATAAATAGAGGACAAAGAAAGGACTTGCTTGTGAGAACATTTCCCATGGAGCACAGGGTCAGGGGACAGAGGGGTGGTTAGAGCACATGTGCAGCTCTTAGCCCAGGACTTCTACATAAAAAATTCCCAAATCATTAACCAATGATCCTTACAACTAAAAATAACTATTGCGTGCACCCAAAAAAAGACCCATTTTTCTTGTTTCCCCTTTTGTCTTATCCTCTCTTTCAACATTAAAAACTCACATGTGGGTGCTCCAGGAGCAGACAGCCCCTCCCCCCCAGCTCTGATGGAATAGATTATTAGGAACTGGCATATCCTCAGAAGTTAACACAAAAAAGATCCATGAAGATACACACATTTGTGTAAGGAATAGTTACAGGCTTTCCAGATCCCCGGCCTTAAATACGGTTATTTTTTACATTTTTTTCAACTTGGTTTGATAATAAACGTGTTCTGTTGTCACCATGTTACCTAGTTTTTTAGGTTGGCACCAAATTATCCCAAAATGCTGATAATCATGACACAAAAGAAAATACATAATTTTCTTAGGGCTTCTGAGGTTCCGCTGAGTTTTTTGTCGAAGTCCGGAAACGTGCAGGGAGGTCCTAGGGCCGACAGACAGCCCTGCCTCAGACGTCAGTGCTCCTTTGCTGAGTCACCTCCGGTGAGAAATCACGTGGCTCAGTGCTGACTCAGGTGAAGTCAACAGCCTTGTCTGTACCTCACACAGGTGGCTGGCTTAAATAAGTGCTGAAAGGAGTTTGGTGCATTTTCCTGAGTCACCCTTGTCGGTTCTGGAGGCATTATAAACTTGGCATCAGAAGGAAATCATAAAGTGCTTTTGTTCCTGAGCTTTACAGAAATCAAAGTGTGTGTATGCGTGTGGGTTTGTCTGTCACCCAGCCCATCGGATTGCATCATTGTGCATTGTCCGCAGGAGTCCTGCCCGCCTCGGCCCACAAAGGAGGGGGCACGGTTAATGCAGGGAGTGTGCCCCACATCTGTCACCAGGCAGTTGGTTCGAGGGGCATTGGCTGTCACCTCTCCATTTCCCTGCTCCCTAGTTGGAATGCTCAAGGGAGTGGCCAAAAGGTGGTCAGCCAGGAGAACGCTAAGGAAGAGGAGGGAAAATGGGGGCCAGAGCAATGCAGAGGCTCCAACTCCAGATCATTGGAGCCAGTTTTTCAAATACTGCTATGGCGGAAGTCCAAAAAAAAGTTATCAAAAGATCCTTTAGTAAGAGGGGTGGTTAGCATGCAGCCTGGCAGTCCTTTGCTGGGACTAGAATTCCCATATGAGGAAATGGAGCTGCCCCACAAGCTCCTGACTGAAACCCCTAGTGAGGTTAACACCCTTCAGAAATGAACCATTTACTCACAGATCAAGGCTGGTGTCTGCAGAAAATGGAAAATCACTGATCTTCCCAAAGACTTTGGCTTTTTTTTTTAAGATCATAGAATTATTGTTCTCAACTTCCTTCCCCCTCATTAGATTTTAAATTTCCTAAGAATGGAGGTCCTAACATTTTATTTGTAGGTAATGGTGTGAAGGATTTTTTTTTTCTTTTTTTAATGCAGTACTAATACCATATGTCTCTTTAATCTCCATCTCAGCAAAAAAGGATAAAGATGTCAAAGCTTTTGTAAAGTTAGCATGGAAACTTTTCCTATGCGGAAACTTTGCTAACCAATGTCTATGGGTCAGAAAAGCTTTTTGTTTTAAATTAGAAAACCTCTCTTGTGAACAAAAGTGGTATACTTGGTTTTTTCTTTGTTCTTGCAAACTATCAAAGATCGATAACTTTTAAAGGTTGAGCATTAGGTTTGGTTTATATACCAAAGATAACATGTGTCCAACATAAAGGAAGGTATTGGCTTGGAGTTTCTTCAGAAGGAAATAAAGGACATTGAATAGTGTGCCTCTGGACAGTCTGTCTTTAGCACTCACTTCTATTCAGTGGCTACATTTAGGGGATAATACCTGGAAAGAAGTTGTTTTTGTAGCTTGGGCATGTGGATAGACCTTCCTTTTCCTTTAATTGGAAATCATTGGACAATAATGAAATCTGCCCCATCAGTCAGAGCTGCTTAGGCTGGTTTGCCAGGAGTAAAAGCACATTGGCTAACAACATTGGTGTTGGCACAAGTGCATGACCTTGGGTTTCTATCTCTGAGACTCGCCTGTGACCTTTACCTATTTTTAACCAACATTGTCACATGACCTGCACGAAGCTACTGAGATGGCTTGGGATTCAGGGGAAGCAATGATGGTTATGAAACACAGGAAAGGCAGAGTGTTGGGAGCATTGAGAAGGAATTGAGCATATGCCCATGCAAAGGCTTCTGGATTCCAATCACAGGATGGAAAATACAGCCTGCAAACCCAGTATGGATTTTAACCGTGGGGTTTTAGCACCACTTCTGCCCTGCTGCAGGAACTGAAACACCACAGGGCATTTACTGTACTGAGTTTCACCAGGGGGAAGTGAAGTGCACTGCGTGGGGTGTCTCTGGAGACATCTCACAGGATGTTCTGATGTGGGTCAGTTAAGGCACAGGCCTGCTGGTGTTTTCGAATACCCCACATACTCACATGCCCACTCCTTCGATATAACTAGCTCAGGGAGATCAATGTGAGCAAGTTTTATATTACTTTATTTTTTATAAGGAAAAGTCCTTTTCAGACCCAAGGAGAGTGTGGCTTCTGTGGCCGAGGGAGATGTAGTCATCTTCAAAAGGTCAGCTTTTTTCTCTTGAGAAGAAAGAAAGGATACGATGATGACTCTTGACGACGTGGGCATAGACTGTGGGGGGACACTGGTGTCACCGCCCAGCTGACCCAGACAGGTCAGTCAGGTTCTGCTTCAAGTGTTCTTGGCCAAACAGTCCTGTTCCTCCCAAGAAGGCCCCTTCCATCACTGATAGTCCTTAAAAAGACTTTTTTGTTTTAATTTTTCTTATGATACACTTTATACATCTCCTTTAACTTAAACTCCCTGGACTTATTATTTCTCCCATTTGGAGCTGCCCCATCCCTCTCTGGCTGACAGACAGCTCTTCAGGTATTTGAAAATGTTACCAGTGTCCTATCTTTTCTTCTCCAATGCGAAGACCCTCCGTTGTTTGAGGTAAAACCAGGTGGTCTGGCTGAAGGACGCCTCGGGCTCTTTCTAAGTCTGGGGCTTTTCTCTCTCTTCTCGTAGCACCTGCCCTGCACACGCTTCTCGGCCACTCTCCCTCTGCAGAATGGGAGGAAGGAGTCACGTGGGCCAGCGGAGGAAGTGCAGTGTCAGTGCACACACAGTGCTGTGGACTCTCACCCCGGTGAAGTCCTGAGTGTCACACCAGGATTCCTCCTAACCTGTCAGTCCAGGGATTGTCCACACTGTTCTTTAACCCAGAATCCGAATGAGAAGAAAGGTTAGCCTCAAGGAAGCTTAGCATAGTGATCAAAGCGAAGATTTCCAGTGTCAAAACAGGAGCCCCAGCTCCACATTCCCAAACTGTGTAGCCTTGGACAGGTTACAGATGCATTAGTTCCTCAGTTTCCTAATCTGTAAAATGAGAATAATAATCACAGTTGCTGTAAGACTTATGTAGAATGAATTTGAAACAATTTCAGTTCCCGGTACAACACAAGCACATGTAGCATACATGTGCAGTAGTGATGGCTGCCACTTACTAAGCTATAACATTTATAAAAACTGTATCATTCTTTTTTCCACTTGCTCCATTCCTGCATCTGCCTGTTTCCTACACCAGTCTGGATACCTGGCAGGGAGGTCCATCACCGTGATTGTGCAGATTACTAGTTCCAGCCCTGCCTAGTGAATTCCATGCAGACCCAATCTGAGCAAGCTAGAGCAGCTCTCCTTCTATTGGCCTGTCCAGTACTCCAGAGCAGCACCATCCATATAAGAACGGTGCATGGGAAGATTACAGTTTGTTTCCCCAGAGCAAGTCAGAAAATCCCTGTGTCCCCTTTCCACCCTGCCAAGCCCCATCCCACCCCCAGTGGATCGTCATCAGCCTCATCTTAAGTTTAAATGTCTGCCTCTGCCTTCTCCTGGGAAAAGCCCTGCTGTCTCTCCCCTCCTGTGCTGCTCCATCAGCTGGCTCGCATGCCCAGCCTGTGCCCCGTTACCACTGCCCTGAGCCAGGGGTGCGGCTGGCACAGGTCGGGCCTGCCCAGCGCAGCCAGCAGGGGAGTGTGAGAGGAGGAGGTTGGTGACTGGTCTTCATAACTGGGTCAGACGCTACCCGTGCCAGCAGCGGAAGACGGACGTCCATGCCTGCAGCCCGCACACATGCTCCACTTGTCTTGCCCATTAGGCTCTGCACCCTCGGCCAGGCTGGCTGTCATGGCCGTGGGCCACACTCTATTCCTTGTCCTATGCACTTGCTCTGCTCTCAGTCCCCAGGACTCTCTTTAGAGCCATAGTTCTGAGTGTCATCTTCCCATTTAGGAGTGCGTCCTTGCAATGTTGATGCTCCCTGGTTTCCTTCCCTCTGGCTTGCCAGCACTAGCTGCCCCCTCCCTCTGCCCGGTCTTTAAAGTCTGAAATTGAATGAAAGGAGGAGGTCATTTTGTATGCTCCACAGCCAAGTCCAACTCTTAAGTAGAAAATGTAGTATTCTCTGGCTCCTGGGGGAAAAAACCCAATAAAACAAATGGTCCAATTAAGGAAACAAGCCCGGTCCTAAGAAACCAAAAAAAATTTGAAAAGAAAAAAAAAAACTTCAACCAATGCCTTCATTTTAATGAGTTTCAAAGTACATTTGGATCCTGTTATCTCAAGGCTCATAATTACACGGGATTAGTTTAAACTCCCTCATCTAGAATATCCGACAACTCAAAAATCAACCAAAGCCGCCTCAAGTGTGGCAGAGTCCCCCAGACGTGATCAGTGTCAGATCCAGAGATGCCAGATTTACAAAGCGGCTGCCCCGCTGCGCCCGTCTCCCTGCACTCAGCGTCTCCGTTCCGTTGTTGACACAGATACGATTGCACGCTAAAACCCGCATTCTTTGTGTTCTTGTTTTAAGATTGTCTTGAAAAATTGTTCTCCAAAGACCATTCCTACCACCCCATTGCTGAAGCCCAGGACTGTGAAAGCAGAGCAGGTCTTGGTTTATCTTTCCTGGCTACAAAGTGGAGTAACAGGCAGGGCCAGCTCTCCCGGAAAGGCCGACCTCGGAGTTTAGAGTCTCAGAGGCTTTCAGTCCGAGCCCCTGCCCACAGGTAGAACAGAATGGCCCGACACCCCTACACCTGGTTTGACAAGATACTAACACTGTCATTGCCTGAGGGCTTTCTTTGTGCCTGGCACCTTACATTCATTATCTCATTTACTCATTATAACCTTATGAACTACAGGAAAATCTTCATTTTATAGTTGAGGACTCTGAGGCCCAGAGAAGTTAAGAAATTTGTCCAAGGTCACACAGCTCCTCAGTGGTAGAACGAGCATACAGACACAGGTAGTCAAACTGCAGAGCCCGACCAGTTAATCTCTGAGTCCTCCATGTCAGAGAAGATCCTAGATCCTTTATATGTCTTTGCCTGGTTTACAGGAGGTTCCCAGGACATCTGCATACAAACCCCACCTAACTCCCTCACACCCCACCTTAGAGCAGCCTTCAGGAGGGAGCATGGCTGATGGCTTTTCCCTGGAGTGTGACCTCCTCTGGAGCCTGGAGAAACTTAAGTTTCTCATTCTCAGGGCCAAGTGTGCCTCTGATTCCTCTAGCATCCTCTAGTTAAAGTCCACGCTAATGAGGGCCACAGAAGGAAGAGGGGCACACAAAGTGAGGCTATGAGCTCCTGACCTTTCTCCTTCCCCTGCTCTCCAGTTAGTTTGAGACTTACATTTGGGGTGGAATCAGATTTTCCACCCTGGCCCCTCACTCACTCTCTGCAGCTCATTAAGTGCTTTTATTGGCCCTAGAAAACTTTCTGCTTCCTTTAGCAAATGTGTCCAGAATCTTTCATGAAGTCACACTATTTTCCTTTTCGGCCGACTTTCCCTTTTGCACTACAGTCAGGAAGGAGGTCAGTCGAGGTGAGGCGAGCTTTAGCCATGGCCATGACCTTAGACATGGAAGAAAGGGACCGCTCTAAACAACATTGTTGATAACTTGTTTGGCATTTGGGTCCCATTAGGGACATAAGTAAATGGAGGAAGTTTTCTGCATAAGAATTATGCTGTCCCAGTTCACAGTAGGAGGAACAGAGTATTTAGGGACAGTGCTGTGCCCAGCTGAGGGTGACAGCCCCCTCCTACCTCCAGCTCTACACACCTGCACCAATGTGTGCCATGAAAGGGGGTGGCATAGAGGTGTCACAGCCTCTATGTCACCCCCCCCACACACACACACACACACATGTAAAACTTCCACTCTCTTGGCATCACCCTTTCCCCCACCCCTCAGAACCAGTCCTGTCCTGGTTTCTGTTTCACAGTATTTGTCCTCCTCTGGCTTCCTCATGAGCTCTACCAGCTGTCCCCCCTTCACTGGCCTTATCTCCCTACACCAAGGGTCGGGAGCCACGAAAGTCAGTGAGTGACGCCAGCCAGCTGTTGGGGGGGTTGCATAGAGCACGTGACCTCCTGGGGGTCGAACGCCCCTTCAGAGCGGCAGCCACTACACAGTGCAGACCCAGGGTTCCAGAATATCCCATTTTCCAAGAGAAGTTGGAAAACCTGACTTTTATGTGATGTGACATTTCCTAGCTTTTAAATGTTTGACAAGTAATTAAAATTATTTTAAAGCATACTGTGTGGACTACATAAAATATGTCTGAGGCCTGGGACTGGTCTCAGTTCTAGTCTCTCTCTCCCTCTCCCTTTTGATTTCTCTCCCTCTCTCCTCCTCCTCCCCACCCCCACAATCTAGCCTGCCCTCCCAGCTTCAGCTCTCACCAGTGTCGATGTCACTGAGAGATCTCTACCCATGGGCTGCACCCCTGATTTATACAGCTAATCATCTCCACGTGGGTGCCCACACACCGCCAATGCAAGGCCGAGCTCATCAACCACCCAGATCTGGTAGACTATAAGATTTTAAGGCGTAATAGTGGTTTTTGCCTTTACTCCCTTGACAAAAATACTACTAATAATAATACTGCTATTAATGCAAATACTGCAAATAATAATCTCTTGCTTCTCTTTTGTCCCGTTTCTGTTACTCGGCACCACTGCCCCGTCAGCCAGACGGGGAGGACGGTGTGATCTGGGACTGTCCCCTTCACCTGCTCCATGAAGTTGGTGGATTGTTTTACCCTCATTCTTCTTCCACAGCCACGTGGGACTTGCTTCCTACTCTTCCTTCCCATTAACTAGAAACTCCCCTAGTTTCTGAACTTGTGTCTTCTCAGCCATTGTCTTAGCCTCATAACTGTTTACCCCAGCACCAACCCTTACCTCTCCATTTGGGATGTATTTGTCACACTGTGTCTGAACCACAGGGAGGCTCTTGCCGCCCTCCTCCTCATGCGCCTCTGACGGATCCTGCAGGAGGCCCCGTGGTTCCGCAGCCGGGGCCACGTGCCAGGCAATGGGCTCCTCTTCCAGCGCGCCGGGTGCTCGCGTGCCTCTGAACGTTGTGCTGGCCGTGTCCTCAGGCATGACTGTCTTCTTCTTTCATGCCTGCATTAACTTTATTGATCCTTTATTGATCCCGTCCAGTGCCACCTCTTCCATGAGGCTGTCACTTGCCTTCTCGCCACCAGCCCCAGTGCTATGTGGCTGGTCCGTCTTCTTAGCTCATTCGTCCAGCCGTGTCTCGCAGAGTTCGCGTGCCTCTTCCCCCTTCTCCTGATTAGCTCCTGGCTGGCGAGCCACTCTCTTTGTCATCTGCATATTCCCACGAAGCCAAGGGCTGAACTGAAGCTTATGTTTCAGTAGAGGATGGATGCATCTGAAGGGCTCAAGCCAAGATGCTAAAAATCAAAACTGCTTGGTTATTCAAAAGGATTTATCAGAACACCAAGAGAAAGTGTCAAGTTAGGGGAAGGGTTATTCTGCCTGTCCCCAGTTCCAGGGATGCAGTTTTTAGAGGAGGAACAGCTGTGATTTGGTCATCTTGTCCTCAGGTAAGGGCCTTTTCCACAGTGCCCCGTGGAAGTGCAGATTCAGTGCCGGGGCAGGGAAGAATGGGCAAAGTCTCTGGGACACTGGGGCTTCTGCCACCCGGCATGTAGAGTCCCACACTGTTCCTCTTGCCCAGAAGAGCAAGCCGTGCCCACACATTCACACGATGTCCTCTGCTCACATCATTGGCAGGCCTGGGAATTTCCCACAAGCCATCTGGGCTTGCTCTGCCTTTCTCATCTCCTACTCAGGAGCATTTTGCAGCATTGGTTTTTGTTAAGTAGCCCTTAGAATAGGAACTGTTTTTCCATCAGGAATTGTATCCCATTGACTTCCCTTAGGAGAGAATTTACTCGTTTCTTTTTTGTAAGTATTTTCCCCTTCCTTCCTGAGTTGTACAGCTTTATCCAGCGAGAGCCCAAGCAGTGAGAACTCCTAGCTCTTGCAGAACTGAGTTATCTGTAAGATACACATTTCCTAGATCCACATCAACCACTGTCAGTGCGTCAGTTGGTAACTGCTCTGATTGGGCCTGTGTAGCCCTGAATGCTACTTTTTACTCTTGGGTCCCTCCTCCAACCCTGCACCACCTGTGGCCTTTAATTCTTGTCACTGGGACAGAGGAGAAGCCATTAAACCCTGTCAGTGTCTTCATTTTTTATGAGCTCCCCTTTGAAGCTTTTTTAAAAAGCGTTTTACAAGGTGTATCCTGTCAGATTGCTTAGGAACTTCTGCAGCCTCCGTCTTCAACACGATCATTTTCATTTGAACCAACTCTGGAGGCTTTACAGCTTTGCACATCTGGCATGGCAGAGTGGCCACCTCCAAACACTGCCTTTTCATGCCTGCACCTTCAACAAGATTTTCTTTTCATTTGCTCTGTAAACTGAGCTCCAAAGCCATTTCTACAAGCACAGCATTGCTTTTGTCTCATGTTCACAAATCAAACTTAGAAAGGGATCCTTAGGGGCTGTCCTAAGTTGTCAGATGTCTCTTTAAAGATGACTTGATTTAAATAAAAACAAAAACAGAACTTTTGCATGCAAGGCAATTTTCTTTTGAAATAGGAAATTAGCTTAAGTGTCTTTGAAATTGAGAACCACATTCTGGCCATGAAAAGTGGATTATCCTGTACTTGTCCTTGTTTAAGAAGTGATCAAAACACCTTTACTGGCTATTTTGTGAAAGCAGATTTAGCCCAAAGCATTTCAATAGGAACTGAGCACCAAGGAAATCTACCAACTGATATAAACACAGAGGGTTTATATACACACATTTCTTAAATGTGTGGCAATGCTCGTTGTAGTTTTTGGTCTATGTAGCAATGGATTCTCAGTCATTAAACCTATTTTCAAAACAGTGGGGAGGGGGTCTTGAAGGAAAAACTTTCCTTTTAGAACTATGATATCTTTGCTGTATAAAGAAAAGTAGCCACTTTTGTTTTTTCCAGATCGAGAACACAGAACTTTTTAGTTTTTCACCCTTGCTGCTGCTTCACACGGGTCTTCAAAAATAACGACTCTCACTCTTCTCTCTGTGGTCTTGTCAGAGCGGGAATCCTGGCCAGCAGGTCCAGTCGCTCAGAAAAATGGCACAGCTGTTTCTGAAAGTAGCCCCATTCATAAGATGCCTGCTGTCTGCATCTGCGGTGTTGGAGAAAGGCACACTCTTTCACAAAGAGCCGCTTTTCTTTAAAGAGGAAAGAAAAATACGTGGTATTTACAGGAAAGAAAACTGGACCCTTCTGCTTTCTTTTAGTGGCCATGTCTGAAATGGAAGTGGGGAAGGCCATAAATTTACACAAGCAATTGCACCTTTAAGGCATGATTCATACTGACTGTGCTGCCTGTGATGGAAAACCCGGCTAGTTAAGCAAGATCAGCCAGAAAGCCTCACGCAGCTCCTCTGCCAGACCTGCTGCCTGCCGTCTTGTGCCGTCTTGTGACATGCTTGCTGTGCGTGTGTGTATGAATGAATGATTGACTCTCTCTCTCCCCATCTCCCCATTTCTCCCAGTTCATGACCAAGAACCCCACCATGCGCTTGGGCAGCCTGACCCAGGGAGGTGAACATGCTATCTTGAGACATCCTTTCTTTAAGGAAATCGACTGGGCCCAGCTGAACCACCGCCAACTAGAGCCACCTTTCAGACCCAGAATCGTAAGTGTCCGAGGCCATTATCATAGACTTTCCTCTTTCAGATGACACAGTGTTCCACCTAAGTCCACCAGACGGCCAGATGGGCCCTGTGGAGTGACAGACTGGAAGTTCAGCCTGACACTGTATGGGGTGGCCTCACCTGGGCGGGAGGCTGAGCTCCTTCCCCCTAAGACAGCATCCCTCCGTGTGCCCCAGTTACTTCTCCCAAAGTTTCTACCTCTCACTTGCCCCGGCTCCATCCTCCCTTAACCTAAATTAAAATCACATAGGGTCTAAGAGGCCTGAAACTTTTCAGGTTTCCCCAAAATAATTTGGCTAATTAAGACTGTCATTATTCCCAGCCAATTTCCTCATGCTCCTCAGTCAGGGTACCTTTTGTGACTTTCCCGAGCCTCCCAAAAAGTAGAGAGGATGCCACTCAGTCTGGCTCCTTAGCTTGGGGAGCCTGGGTCTGTACTAGCTGCTTGGGCACAGAGCTCAGGCCAGGCTCCCTTTGACTGGAGAAGTTGAGGAGCACAAGGACTCCTGTCCACGCTGTCCAGCTGAGTGGGGTGGCATTCCCAAGGGTGGCCCAGCTCATAGTCTGAGAGTGGAGCTACTGCTCATCTGTGGGTCAGGAGCTCCACAGTGGGAAGGCAGAGGAGCCAGGCTTGTGAAAGATCCAGAGTTATGGGGAAGAGAGGTGGTCCAGAGGTAGAGAGAGAAATATCATTGAGTCAGGTAAGAGAAGTGAGAGGCCTAATGCTGGTAGAAATGATCTTGTCAGCATTCATTTATAAAGGTATAAAATTAACAACTTCCTCAGACATACAGCGAGCTTAATCAGTAACAGTCTGTTAGGCTGCTGGCCACCAGGCACCCAGAGGTAAAGTCATTTTCTTCAATGGGCATGCCCCTGCCGGCTCCCCTGGGACTGGGGACAGCGTTGCTTTCAGAGGCAAGAGCCTGTAGTCCCAACGCACAGCTGGTCCCTGAGAACATGATGCACAAGTAAATTGACCAGCAGTTGTTCCCTAAGCTCAGCAGTTCCAAAAAGTCTTTCAGGAACATCTCTTCAAGCATGCAGAACTGTGTGCAAACAACAGGTGGGACAAGCGTGAACTTCCACAGCCTCTGTCGACAAATACAAGCTGTGCGTCTCTCCGCGAGCCCTGTTAGAAGTGCCGCCTGGGTGAAGTGAGAACAAAGGGTGAGCGAGCAGGCTGGTTTGGTGGCCAAATTAATTCCTTAGCCTCCCAGCGAGGCTGGCCTGCTCAGCGAGATTTTCATGGGATTAGTGAATTGGTGGTTGCCAAATGCCATAATAATACTCAATGCTGTCGAATTGCTGTAAAGCACTGTTTAATCATAATGACCCTAACTGTAAACAATGCTACTGAACGAGCTACAGAGCGGGTCTCTGAGTTCACTGGAATGGGCTAAGTCCCATGCCAGATGAGTAAACCTCAAGTGGATAAAATCTGACCCTTGTTTCCTTTTTTGGCAGAAATCCCGAGAAGATGTCAGTAATTTTGACCCCGACTTCATAAAGGAGGAGCCAGTTTTAACTCCAATTGATGAGGGACATCTTCCTATGATTAACCAGGATGAGTTTAGAAACTTTTCCTATGTGTCTCCAGAATTGCAACCATAGCCTCATGGGGAATGAGAGAGATGGCAGGAGACTCAAAAGGAAATAGAGGTTTTTTTTCAGGAATTTCCTTTGTGGGAACTCCCCAACATCAGCCTTAGAACAAGAGCCTTACCTCTAAGGAGCAAGTGGAGAACTCTGTGAAGGACGGAATTTCAAGAGATCAACTATTTCAAAGGGATCCATGGTTTTGGAAATAGTTGATACTGAAATGACATTTTATGAGGAATTGTACTGCTCACCCTATGTGTTTGTGTGGCTATGTCAGGATTTGGATATGAAGAGGAGCCAAAACGAGTGAAGGCATGAAGAATAAACTAGATCCTGGAAATTCTGAGCCAAGCAGGCTTTTTACTTCGAGAGACAGATCAAGACTTTCTATGGACCGCGCTGTGCTCTTCTTTAAGCCAATGAACCCCTAATACTGGCCGTCTCTAAGAAGCCTCTCAATGCCAATGAAGAATTTAAAGGTCTATTAAAGGAAATAAGTGGCTTTCCAAATAGATGATTTATGCTGAAGAAACAAAAGAAAATGGTATTCCTAAAACTCACAACTTAAAGCCCAACCTTGAAAACAGATGTTGGGCACCAAGACAACTGCCACAGCTTCTTCTGTTATCCTTACTTTCTTTAATAGATATTTATTGAGTTTCCAGGAAAAAGGGGCCACGAAACCCAGTATTGTAGACAATAGATTTACATTCATGAAGCTTTCATTCATTCCGGAGTCTACCAATTGACCTGAATAGTGTTTGCATTCTGTGAAATGCCTCTCCACATTGCATATGTCACATTTCTTTGTCTGCACATAACTCTTTTTTCATAGAAAGGTCGCTGCCACAACAGCACAGTCAGCAGGTGAGCTGCAGGTGCTTGCTGCCTGCCGACCCTGGGGATCCGATTGTGTTGCTATCGCTCTGGGCTCATCAGTGAAGAACTGTAGGCCACGCGTGTCAGGGACCACATTTATCGCTTACACATTAGCAGTTTATTTAAGTTATGTTTTAAGAGACAAAGATGTTTGATACACACTTTAATAATGAGAAATGGATCTTGTACACAGGATATATATCAATGGCAGACCTTATATGTCCCTGTAAATGGAGCTGGAGAATTTTGTCTGGGTGGAAATAAACGCTTTTTGTAGCAAAAGAAAATTTTTTGTCTAGAAGGATTTGTTCCGTCCCCACTTGAGAGTAGATTTCCAGTCAAAATAAAAGCTCTGAGCAGAATGGACAGAACCCTTGGCCTAAAGCAAATTCCTGATTGGAGAGGTTGACATAAGCCTCTGTGATTCCCTGAAATGGATGTGGCCTCTTGCTAACCAAAACTTCTGTTCGGAATCAGGGTGGTGACTGCCAAGCAAAGCTGTGACAGATCAACCCTTGAAATCTGTGTTTATTTCTCATTCAGATAATATAGAGTATGAATTCAGCAGTCCTCCTCTATCTTATAACTATGCCATCTGCAAAATGTAGCCTCCTACGGTTTCTGGAACAAGAGAAGAGCGAGATGGGGGAGGTGCTTACTGCGTGACTACCTCTCCTGAGAGAGACACGAATCGCTGCTTCTCACATTCACCAAAACGTGGCTTTCCTCTGACTACAGATGGGATGAGGGAATTGCAGAGCAGCTGAGGAGAATCTGGCTAGTACTGACAATCTCTTCTCTGTCCTAGATTGTTTCTTTGCATTCCAAGGTAAAAAAGAAAAATTACTTTTGAATGAATAGAGAAACTAGGAGCTTCCCTTTAAATGCATGTAGCACTTAGTTCACGGGTACTCTCACCTATGGAATTTCACTGCATGTTCATGACATCCTTTTGAGATAGGCAGGTCATTCCCCCGCTGTTTCCACTATTGACAGTGTGACTACTGAGGCATATTTTACAAATGAGAAGAAAAGAGAGTCTTGGAGAAGCTGAGTTGTTTGGTTTGGCCATATGTTTCAAACTTGGTCCAGAGTGGATCCAGGTCTAGAGTCGAAATCTTGATGTTCTCATCCAACAGGCTTCTGGAAAAGGGAGGGATCATTTTGACTTTGGGACTTTCTTGCAGCTCCAGCTTCTATTGCTCTGTGGGGTTGATTAGCTTCTTGGTATAGTTTACTCATGGTAAAGAACCATGAAGAATAAAGTGTGCCTCCTGTTTTATTAACCAAATTCATCAGTCATGCAAAGGGTCCAAAACATTCTCTTTGATGAATCTGTGGAATCATCCACTTAGCAGCTTCCCTCCCTCTTCACAATCTTTTCTTAAGCCCACTACCTGGGCCCCCCAGTTTGGGTTAAGTCCATTCTTTTGAGATCATTCCAGACCTGTCAGACAGATTATTATCCAACAGCTAATGATTCTGCTACAGTAGGATTTCTGGAACTTCCTCATCCTACCTTTATGTGTGAGGGGAGAGGGAATGTCCAAGATACTTACCTAAAACTCTAAGAGTCTCCAATTCCTACTTAGACTTCTACATCGCGTCTTTCTTCAGTTCTTGTAGACCTTGCATCCCCTTCCAAGAGATCACAAGGCTACCTTGCCCAGGCTTCCTAGAATGAGCAGTAGGCCACTCAGTCAGCAGAAGCTGAGTCCGCTGGGGCTGGCAGGTTCCAGGAGCTCGGTGGGCAGCATGAAGGTCACACCAGGACGGTCGCACCTCCACAGTCTCAGGATCATCTTGCCTCTCAGGTGAGGAGTCTAGAGCCATCCTCAGGCCTTATCATCCCACTCCCCATCCCAGCCAGTCCTCACCCCACACCCATGGGTCCCCACTGTCCCAGCTGTCCCACACAAATCTAACTAAATTAGACTCGTGAGCTTGAGTATTTGAAAAGAGAGTGACTTCAAGCATTTGCTTTGAGATGTGGATCAGCCTTTGACCGCGAAAGATGTTTTCACTTAATGCTTAACATCTATGGCGTGTTTCTTTTATGTGAGGCCTTATTCCAAATACCTTAGATGTATATACTTATTCATTACCCCACGAGTACTCTTGTCTTTGTACAGACGGGGGAAAATGAAGTACAAGAGATTAAGTAACTTGTTCAAAGTCACACAACTAAAGCCGTAGGGGCCGGGATTCGGCTCAGGCAGTTTAACTCCAGAGTCCCTACTTTTAGCCCAATTCAGTAAGGTTCTTCTATTAAAGCCAATTTTATTTTTTCTACTTATGTGGGGTTTTGAGAACAATAAAAAAGGTGTAAATTGGGGTTGGCAGGAAGCCCAAGATGAACTGCCAACCAGGGAGGACAGTGTCAGCTGGGCCCTCAGTAGAATCATTTACCAGCAGTGAGACTGTGGTTTGCATACCAAGGGCCTGGGCCTGACCCCAGTTCTTAAAGGAACCGGGGCAGGCCAGGGTGATGCAATTGGGACTTAGACCTCTCTGAGGAAGAAAAAGAGGAAACAGTCTGGGTCTCACTGAATCCTGTGAACTCCATCTGAACCTCGAGGGTAACTTCTGAGCCTTGGTGGAGTTTCCAGTCCTTTCTCCCCTCATAGAGGAGGAGCTTCCTCATGCTCCAGTAACTCCTCACCACCCTGCCTGCTGGCCCCTGCAGCCTGGAGCCTACCTTGGCAGCTGCACGTTTACAGATACAGAGCTGATGGAACTTGCGAGCAAAGACCAGACCAAAAATAAAAACATCCCATTTGTCAGGTTTTGATCTTAATTGGGTGCACGTTGCCTTGAAACTATTCCAGCCTCAGATTTGGCCTTGAGCATTTTTGTGGGCCAACATGGTAAAGTTTTATGTCCTCTTTTTTTCCTAGGCTTGGTCATCATGGTTGCTTAATCTGGCAATGTTGACTTAAAATGACTAGACAGTCCTTAGCAATTGCCCCTGGCTCAGGGTCACACTGGATCCCGTAACTTCTCATTTTACGTCATCTGAAGATAAGGCTCTGACACAACCGCAGACATTTGCATTGGGAATGAGCCCTGGGTCACATGTTCCTCTGCACTGAGTGGCAGTTTGGACAGAGCTGGCCAGTGGGCAGCTGTAAACAGAGTTTGGCAGTCTCCCTTTGTTCCTGTGTTGACTTAGAACCAAGGCTAAGGGGCCACCCTCAGCTTCCTCCTGTCCCCACCCCACCCCCTCACCTCCACTCCCTGGTCACTTGTCCTTTCCCTTCTCCCTCTGCTTCCTCTCTCTTCATTCCCCAATGAGCTAAGTTGGTTCTGTGCTCTCTCACCCCCCATCACTTGATTTCCAGAGCCAAAATGTTATAGAGCCAATTTTCCAACTACTAAGATGACATAAAATTTTGATTTGCATATTTATTTTATAGGTTCTTTTAGAGCCCCACAATGGCAGACACCTTTTCCACATATTTCTGCATCTTGGGCATCACCCTGTGTCAGCTCTTGCCCTGGCACGGGCTGCCTAGGAGAGCAACCCTGCCCTGCTTTGCCCTGCCCACATGGTCTGGGAGGTGACAAGCCACACGGGTTGTAAGAGCACAGGCTCGGGTAGAGGATAGACCTGTGTGCTGAATCCTCAGTCACTGTGTGTTCTTGAGGAAAGGTAGTCATTTCTCGACATTCACCTTCCTCATCTGTGAAATAGGAATGAGAATAGCACCTGCCTGCCTTGTGTTAATACTTGGGGATTAACTGTGACCATATATGTCAAGCTTTTGCCACAGGGCTGGGACATAGAACTGCTCCATCGATGTTAGCTGCTATTTTTGTCAGCTCTTCCACATGGGACTAAGGGAAGGTTGCTTGTGACATGCACCAGAAAATGGACAGAGTGGGTCACCCAGGCTGCCTGTCCCATCGGATACAGATGCTCCAAGTTGGAGGGATTTCATTTTCTAACTGCTGCAGAGGAGGCTGCTGAGCCTTCTTGGAAGATCTTTTAAATACTTCTAGGAGGTTTTTGGGTCCATCCTGTTCTGATTGGCATACAGGATCAGTCTTAAGTTTGAAACTCTGCTGCTCACCTTAAAATAGAGGCCAAAAATATTTATGGTTTTCCTAGATGGCTTTTCTCTCCCTCCCTTCAGAAATTCATATGCATTGCTAGATTTAATATGAAGATACTTTTAATTTACTTCTGACCAAATAACACAGGGACCACATCCCAGCATCAATGCCTGCTGGGCACCCTCTGGACACGCAACTCACTGGTGGACCAGTTCAAAGAAAGAACTCAAGGTGTTCAATAAATCCTGCCATGCCTGAGAGTTTGAAGCCAATAATAGAACCAAGGGCCTTTCTTCCTAGATTAAGGTATCTAGGAAGAGAGTTTCTAGTAAAACAAGAATCTCCATAGTCCTGTGTATTCGTACTGGAAACTGGGCCACAGCACCCCTGTCCCCATGCAGTAGCCTTTCCAGATCACCCAGGGCTGCCTTTCTCATGCCACCAAGGCTGTTTTTACCCCACAGAGGCGTCATTCTTCTAAGGGCTTGGACCACAGCTAGAAGAATCCAGGCTAGACAAAGTGAAGACTGTGCAGGCACCCAGTGTGGTCAGATACTCAAGTAGGCTGCAGAGGGTGAGACAGGAATCTTCTTTGGAGACGTTTCAAATTAGAAACCAGGAATAGTTTAGTAGTCATTTGACCTGAAAGTGCCAGAAATAACCTAGATGTCCTCTCAAATTCTTCCAGCCTTGTACTTTTACTCCCTTGGCTAAACTTGAGCAGAGGGATATGGTCAATGGGCTCCCATGAGTAGCTGCCAACCCCACACTACTCCCACCATACACAAAACCTCTATTGCCCAAATTTCCTCCATGTCCATCTGTGTGCAACCTTCACGCACTAGCACACCTACACGCCCTCCCTCTCAACCCCAAGTGTCCCCACAGGCTCACACAGATCATTTGTCCCTAAAGCCACATACTCGACAATATCTCATACATGGTTGCCTCTCACATTGCTCATGCTTGTTCATACATAGAAAAGAAAAGGCTTTCTAAATTTAAAATGAGCACAAGGAGATCGTAAGACTTGTAAGCTCACTTCTAGCCACTTATCAGTACTTGTGGATGCAGGAGGAAGCAGGATTCCTCAACTCTGCTCTGTATTTTTCTCAAAGAGAGTGATTTTCAGGATGAAAAGGATAAATACTCGAATTATGTAGCCCAAGGTAGACAGATTTGTATAGAGCATTCAGACGCATATAGGCAAAAGTTCAGAACACAATCCAAGTAGTAATTTCTGAGCACTGGCAGTGATGCTGGTCACTAGGACTGTGCAGGGGTTTGGTTCATAAAGAACAAGTCTTGAAAGTCCACTCTTATTTTCTTTGATGATTCCTAGACTGGTAGATCAAGAATAGGTGATGGCTTTTGCATGGCTGAACTTCAGCATACGTGACAAAACCTCATCTCATTTCCTTGTAGCCATGCTGGAGTCAAAAAACAATGGTACTGAAAATGTGGTGATTAATAGATTAATATCAATCTGGAATAGTGGTTCTGCAACCTTCAGTAACTGCTGCTCCCCTTAGATTAATAGATAAATTTCAAATCTCCCTTTAATCTTATTTGAGATTTCAAACCTTCAACATCATGACTAAACACAAAATCAAACAATGGGACAAAATGCTACTTTGTTTTCAGACTGCACATGCCCTCTCAGGAGATTCTATGCAAAAGAACAAATGAGCTTAGAGATTCACTTCATTCATTCACTTCATTTATATTTATTGAGCACCTACCATATTCCAGGCATGTTCTGGTTGCTGGAAAAACTAAAGTGAAAAAAAAAAAAACCACCCCAAAAATTCCTGCATTCATGCAATTTCCATTTCAATCTAGAGATGTTGTATTGTTTACCCAAATTAATAGTAAGGCAGCCTTGTGGTCTTTCTTCCTCATAACTGTATCTGTGGCACCTGGCATGTTATAGGTGCTTAAGACATAAGTGTTGTTCAATGATACAATCAGAGCTGATGTCAAACACACACTTTTTGACTCCAAAGATAATATGCTTTCACAGCTCTGTGCTGGAACAAATTTAAGAAATATAACAGAACGTGTACTTCTGTCTGAAAAAGCTAATTCATTATAACGCTCCAGCGTTATAATGTGGTATCTCGGACGAGGGGAAGGGTGAGCTCCACTGAGCTCTGCTGTGGTTAGACTATGCTTAGAAAACTGAACTTAGCTCGAGACACCACCACAGAGAGAGAGGAAGCTCGATCATGTCCAGAGGAAAGAGAACGGATGGATGGACTGAGCAAGAATCACAGCACAGCAACTGAGGAGATAGCTGGGAGTTAACTTTGGGAGAAGATGCAGGGAGACACCAAGACCACCTTCAAATAGGTGAAAAACTAACATTGCAGTCACTAATACTGCTTTCCAAATATTTCCAGCTCTCTGCCTCCTGAGCACATAATACCATGTTTCCCCAAAAATAAGACAGGGTCTTATATTTATTTTTCCTCAAGAAGACACCCTAGGGCTTATTTTCAGGGGATGTGTTATTTTTTTTTTTTAAGTATGGTACAACAATCTACATTTATTCAAATATAGTTAAGTCGCCTCCTTCTGGAACATCATCATAACTCTCCAAACTCCAAATTCCATCCTGAATTTCTTGTGACTCTATTTCCTTTAGAACCATTGGCCCCAATCTTCCATGTTGATCAATAGAGGTCTCGGGGGGCAGATGAGAAGGGCTGCTCGTCTTCTTTACCGCTCTGCAATGAAATGCAGGGGTTGTGCAGATACGCTGCATAGCCACGCCCATCACTAGGTCTTATTTTGGGGGTAGGGCTTATATTGCACAAATGCTTAGAAATCCTGCTAGGGTAGGTCTTATTTTTGGGGAAACAAGGTAAGAGCTACTTTGGGGCCTTGTCAAGGACAAGTAAAGCAACAGGTGAATAGTTCTAGCCATCAAGTTAAGAGCAGGATGATGTACAATACCTGCTGGCCAGAACATTTCAGTGCTGATGAGAAATTCCGTTTCCTCCAGTGAATGGCAATGACAAGAGATGGAGGCTGTGCTCTGACAGCCTGGGTCCCTGAGTGATTAACATGAACAGAGTCCCTGGA